TGACTTCTTTCTTGTATATTTTATGGTTAAATTTATCTAGCTCTGAGAGGGGAAAGTTGAATTCCTCCTGTAATTCACTTAACTTTTCCTTTAAGAATTTATATGCTTTGAATGTGGTGCATATATGTTTAGTATTACTATGACTTCATTGTCATGACTTTTGCCATGATTTACTTTCCCTGTTTATCCCTTTTAATGAATTCTATTTTTGCTTTTGCTTTTTCTAAGATCATGGTTGCCACTCTTGCCTTTTTTTTTTAACTTCAGTTCAAGCATAAGAAATTCTGCTCCAGCCCCTTATTTTAACTCTGTGTGTGTCTCTATTTCAAGTGTGATTCTTGAAAATAACCTGTCATTGGATTCTGGTTTCTAATCGATTCTGCTATTTGCTTCTGTTTTATGGATGAGTTCATCCCATTCACATTCACAATTATGATTACTAATTGTGCATTTCTCTGCATCCTATTTTCTTGTGGTTATCCCCCCCCACTCTTACACACACACACACACACACACACACACACACACACACACATCCTGTCCCTCCACTAACATCTGTTTCACTTCTGATAACTGCCTTCTTTATCTTCCTTCTCTTTTATCACCCTCCTTTTTTTTTCCTATCCTCTTCCCCTCCTACTTCCCCGTTGGGTAAGATAGATTTATGTTACCAATGGGTATGTGTGTGTATTTGCCTTCTTCGAACCAATTTAGATGTGAACTAGTTTCAAGTGTTATCCACAGCACCACACATACCATTTTCTCCTCCAGTATAAAAGCCCTTTTATGCTTACCTCTTCTCTGTGAAATAATTTTCCCAATACTCTCTGTTCCTTCCCCCTTCTCCCAGGGCACCACTCTTCCTTTTTTTCTTTCACTTTTTATACCATCCCAACATAATCGACTCACTCTTGCACCTTCATTCTACATAGAATCCTTCTAACTGTTCTAATGATGATAAAGTTCATAGAAGTTACATGTATCATCTTCCTATACAGAAAGGGCAAAACAGTTTAACCTTATTGAGTCTGTTGTGATTTCTCTTTCATATTTACCTTTTTTTCCACTTCTCTTGAAATCTGTATTTGAAAGTCAATTTTCTATTCAGCTCTGATCTTTTCATCAAGAACGCTTGAAAATCTTTTAATTTATTAAATATCTCCTTTTTCCCTTGCATGATTATACTATTTTCCTAGGCAGGTTACTCTTGGTCATAATAGCAGCTCTTTTGCTTTCCAGAATATCATATTCCAAGCCCACAACTCCTTTAATGTGGTAACTGCTAAATCTTTTGTGATCCTGACTGTGACTTCATGGTACTTGAATGATTTCTTTCTGGAAGTTTGAGTTTTTTCCCATTGACCTGTGAGCTCCGGAGTTTGACTCTATATTTCTGGCAGTTTCATTTTGGGATCTGTTTCAGGTGGTGATCAGTGGATTCTTTTTATTTATATTTTACCCCCTGGTTCTAGGAGAGGGCAGTTTTCCTTGATAATTTCTTGAATATGATGTGTAGGCTCTTTTCTTTGATCATGATTTTCAGGTGGTTAATAATTTTTAAATTATCTTTCCTCAATCCTTTCCTCAATTTCCAGGTGAGTTTTTTTTCTGATGAGATACTTCACATTTTCTTCTATTTTTCATGCTTTTGGTATCTTTTTTTGTTTATCGATGTCTCATGGAGTCCTTAGCTTCCACTTGCCCAATTCTAATTTTTAAGAAATTCTTTTCATCAGTGAGTTTTGGTACCTCTTTTTCCATTTAGCCAATTCTGTTTTTAAGGTATTTTCTTCAGTACTTTTGTGTCTCCTTTACCAAGTTGTTAATCTTTTCATAATTTTCTTTCTTTGTTTTCATTTCTTTACCTAATTTTTCCTCTACCAACACTAACAGATTTTGAAAATTATTTTTAGCTCCTCTAGTAATTCCTGTTGAGCTTGTGTTTAATTCCCAATTTTCCCCTTTGAGGCTTTGCTTGTAGCTGTTTTGACTTTATGGTCCTCTTCTGAGTTTGTGTCATGATTTTCTCTGTTACCATAGTAACTTTTATGATCAGGTTCCTTTTGTTGTTGTTGTTTTCTCATATCCCCACCTTATTTCTTGATATAGAACTTTATGTTAAAGTTGGGCTATGTTCCCTGCAATGGAGATGGGTAAGGGGCAGTGTCTCAGGCTTCAGGCTTTTTTGCTCCGCTGTTTTCAGAGCTAGTTCTGGGGGACTGGAATTTTTTTTTTGGTGCTTCTAAGGCAGTGTGATCTGGGGAGAGGTGTGGTCATTGTTCTCCTGGTCTGCACTCTGGTCCCTACTCAGAAAGGGCCCCTGCTCCCTTTAGTCCCTGATCCCTTGGGGCCAGAAAATAATACCATTCCTCAGTGTCTCTGATCCTTTGTGACCAAAAGAGATAATACCCTTCAGGGCTCCTTCTCCCTCTTGACCAAAAGTCTTTCTCTTGCACTTGAGCTATGACCCAGACATCATTATAGGTAATGGTCCTATCTCCAGGGCTAGCCTTGGGGTAGCCTGTAATCGCCTGACCAGTTGCCAGTTTCCCCTCACTGTCTCCTTCTTGAGAGTTCCCAAAGTTGCTGCTGCTTCTGTCACCACCACCTGGTCCCACCTTGAGAGGTGCAGCCATATGGGCTCCAACTCAGCCTCCTCCGCTGTGTCAGAGATCTCTCTTTCTGACCTCCTAAATCATTTTGGGCTGGAAGAATGTCTCACTCTGACCTTTTGTTGGTTCTGCCACTCCAGAATTCAATTTGAGGAACTATCTTAAAGTTCTTTGGAAAGTTCAGCCGAGTGCTTTCTCTACTCTGTCATCTCAGAACCATCCCTGGAAGTTATCCCTCCCCTCGTTGTTAAGAGATTTAGTAAAAGGTTGGGTTGGAAAGGATGTTGCAACTAAGAACTAAAATGAGATCTGGGGATTACCTATGGATTTCCATTATCCATGGTTCTTACTCTCTCCATTACCACATATGCTAAATGCTAGTCTAACTCTGGCATGACAATATGAAGACAAGAGAATTATCTGTTTAATTCGCTCATCTTTGATTCATTGCTTTAAATAAATCAGTACCTCAGATTATATAGTTAATGGAATTAAGTAATTTAGCAATCTTGGTTAATAACAAATGACTTGTTTTCCATTATTTGGTAATTCTTCAAAGTAAATTCCTTATAATCAAAAATAAATGTCACCTTTTTCTGAGGAAGAATAATTATTTAAGTATTAAGGTAAAATGAATTCTTCTGGTCTAGAAAGTAATATGATAAACAGTTTGCCTTCCATACATGTCTATCTCCATGGACCAATGCGATGAAATTTTTTTCATGGCTTTGAAGGCCTGCATGAAAATTTCATAAAGATAAATGTATTATTTTACATGGTCCTAACTCTAACAGAATGTCATATTTCACATGACAGACTACAAGTATTAGCCTTGCTATAAAAACTCAGCAAATAATGTTAAATACTTTCTAATCCTATTATATGTACAAACTCCACATGTAAAGGTTGGACTGAGTTGGCAGAGGAGTCTAGGTAAACACACATCTTGCCTCCCTCAGGTATACAGTATTGAATAGTGGATAAAAAGAGCTTTCTACTCAGATTCCCTCAGTCTCTCGGGTATTTGAACAGTATACCTTTAAAAAGGAAGATTCAAAAATAATAATACTCAAGTCCCATAAAATGAATGTGTATATTCATAGTTCCCTAAATCCTATCCTTTAGAGTTCATTTAGCAAGTCTACCCACTGTATCTAAACTATTACCTCTTATCTCTGTTTACAAAATCTAGTTACATTTAAAAACTGTAGGAGGTTTTTTGTTTTGTTTTGTTTTTTGGGTTTTTTAAAATTTTTTTTTTTGCTTTTTGGTGAGGCAATCAGGGTTAAGTGACTTGCCCAAGGTCACACAGCTAATAAGTGTCAAGTGTCTCAGGTCGGATTTGAACACACATCCTCCTGACTCCAAGGCCAGAGCTCTAACCATCATGCCACCTAGCTGTCCCCCGTAAATTTGTTTTGTTTTGTTTTGTTCTTAAGCAAATCTATCTCTTTCATTTTTTTCCCTTCTTTCTAAACTGGAGGACAGCACATCACAAAAGTAAATTACAGTTTGATGACCAACTTTGGTGCTCACTTTGTAAAATCTTATTTTATATTTTTTGATTTATTGCCTTAAGTAATTTTGAAGGTTTTTTTGTCTTTTGTTTTGTTTTGTTTTTAAAGCAGTTAGATCATAGCACTTCAGGTTGGAAATTCACTATAAACCACCCCCCTAGAAACTACCCTTTGAAATATTCTACCGATTCTGTAAAAATCTAGAAAATTGGAGATCATTAAATTATACATAGTTTCTTTTCATCAATTTAACTCATCATTGGAAATAACAGTCATTTAAAGTAAAATCTCACTAAACTCTTATTTTATCCTCGACTTACAACAATTTAATATTGCTAATCAGCTACTTCCAGGATATATACCTGTTGCAGATTACCTCTGCCAAGGTGTGTGACCCTGAAGTCAGAGTTCTATATGGTAGGGAATTAAGTTATACAAAAATAATCCTCAGTAAAGGTCATTCTAAACTTGGAAGGGTAGTTATGGATTTGTTCATGTTTATTGCCCCAGTTAGAGAGAATAACTCTCCAATGAAGAACTGAGGGGCAGCACACTCCTAGCCCTGCTCCAGAAAAGGTGAACCGGCCTTGTCATGATATTTAAGTATGTACCAAAATATTCCTAGGAGAAAAAAAAGGAAATATGGCATTTTAATCGCTGAATCGATGCAACCCTATTTAGTAAGTATTTATTAGGGGCCTCCAATGGCAAAAGTATCCCTTGAAATAGGCATAGGACACAGACCTATCGCTGAGGAAAGAAAAACCAGAAGTTAGATAGTACCGACTGTCCAGCAGCTTACATGCTGTTGGGACAGAGACATAATATGACTATATGCTGTCACAGACAAATGATAAATAAACACTCTTACATTACTTTGATGTTTACTGGTTTCCATGGCATGCATTACATCAGGTGGTTCCTTCATATGTGAATAGTCTGATATTCCTTTTGTAGCATCATGTTTCTGTTTGTAGAGAACCTTGAAAACAAAAATACACACAGATTTTTTTCTCTTTCTTTGTTACATCAAATGCTAATCTTTCTCATTTTCATTCAACAAGAACTATAATTATTAGATTACACAATAGATAAAATGTTTTCTTACGCACTGCAATTCCACCACTGATGGTAGAATTTGTTTTAACATCTAACCACGATAACATACATAACTCTTTATTCCTAGTACTACTGTTGAAATTTCTAATTTTAGGCCTTTAGCTATTACTCAAAAGCTTTCTCCCCACAAATGAATGTCTACTAAGATCCACCCCAAATCCTACTTTAACTCAAATCTCAGACTACATATTGGGGAAATCTATAGGATTTTGGAATTCAGGCTATTTCAACAAATACTGGGTCTATCTATATGATGCCAAAATAACCAAATATGGGAGGTTAGAGGGGAAGATCAAGAAAACCATCTGTTTTGCATCGTGTAGGCAAGGAAACCATGTGGTTCCTGAATTGTTCACCCATCCAGAGATTGTTTTGACATTATATAGCTACAGTTATGACAGCAGCAAATTCCACATGTTTAAGCCAACATCAGAAAAATATACCACCTACGGTAATTTTTCATCTAATTCTATGATCTCCAAGTTTCCAGATTTTTACAGAATCACTAGAATATTTCAAAGATTCTTTGCCTAAAAATTTTGGATTACTGAGTCAATATCCAAGTTTATTATGAATAGAGAGATACAAATGATGTGGTCGAGTGAGGTTGGATCTTGGAGGCAAGATGTGGGTTCAAAACCTACTTCTGACACCTTGCTGTGACTCTCTCAGTTCCCCAATCAACCGTCTAAAACTGTAAGGTACAAACAAGTTGCCAATCAGCACTGGAAAACTGAGTTTCCGCACTGGGAGTTCCCTAGTCTGATGAAATCACTGTTACACCAAATAACATTCTGCATTACTAAATTGCTTGGCTAAGTTGATATCTATTATATAATTAAAACTAAGTATTTTAGCAAAACATAAAGTAATTAATTAATTGTGCTGGTATAAAAAATGTGGGCAATAGAATCACAGATGGCAATCAGTAACTGCTAAAACTTGGCATTATTTTAAAGATATTTTTCTTCTTTCATAATACTGAGTAATTCCAATGTCTTATCATTTCAACTGCCTGTTATACAAATGCTATGTGATGAATATCACATTTCACTGTGAAATGTTATAATACATTGCTTACAATAAGAAATGAGACTGTGATGAGAAAATAAGGAATACAGAACATACATCTTCAATAAATTTGTACAACAGGACATAATTATGAAAGAAAATAGAAAATAATGGATCATTTTGCTTATTGAAACAAAAATTTCCTTTCCAGCTCAAAATCTGTGACCAGATGAACCATGATCTTATGATTATGAATACAGCAACAAATAGCCAAAGAAGAAGGAATCCCAGTTTCATAAATGCTCTCGTCAGGATAGGAGGCATGAAAAATCGGGGTAAGGGAAAACAGCAGGGCAGATCAAAGAGTCCAATCCCAAGGCAAAACACCCAATACTAAAGAAGAATATGAGCAAAGGTCAAAAATTGAGGTTGACGTAGTCAAGGGCAACATATTCTCACATAAAACGCCCTATGGTGTCTTATGTCAGATAGGATCTGTTTGAGTATGCCTAGAATTGGAATCCAGTGGGACACCTACTGGGTGGGTTATTTAGCAGGTGTGACCTGAATGAATACACAGCACAGGAGATTAAAAAGAAATCAAACACAAAAAAAATCAAACAAATAAGAGAACTGAGAGAGAGGTGTGTCACGAGAACCTAGAGAGGAGAGAGAATAAAGGAGAAGTTGGAGACCAAAAGTGGCAAAGACCACAGGGAGGTCAAGAAGGATGCGGATGGGGAAAAGGGATATTAGATGTGACAATTAAGAAACTGTTAGCACTTTGGGGAGAAGAGTTTACATAACTGATTGCTGGAGCTGTATTCAAAGGCATTCCAGTGTGGAAGGACCTCCTGGAACTTATGCTGAACTGGCATTGGCCTTCAGGAACCAAGGTTCATTTCCATGCTGCCATGAAGCACTAGAGTAAGACTTTGACAGACACTAGACTAGACAGATCATATGCTGAAGACTGTGCAGCACGCCTTATTTGGAACAAAGTCCCAGAAAAAGTCATATAAAATATTTAGATTAACAGTATAAGGACAACAAAGACCCACAGATAAGTTCATACTGCTTGAGTGACATATGACACTTCTTCCATTTGTTGAATCTAAAATGCCTTTTTATTATTGTTCTCATTATTTCTTATCTGTTTATTATTTTGGTTTTTTTAAAAACTTATATAAAATGAATTCCTGTCTACAAGCCAAGAGAAAATGAAGAAACTATTGCTAGCTGTAGAGTCAAGCTGGATAAGTCAGGAATCTAAATATCTTGGATCAGTTTTATACTGCCCAGACTTATCAGGAAACTCCTCAAAGTTAATAAATATTTTTTGAATTTTTAAACTGAACTTTGAACTTCACTTTGGCAAGATATTAGCAAAACTTGCAATTCCAAGACTTTAGAATGGAAAGGAAATGGAATGCCATTTTCTGGTTAAGGTCAAGGATCACATTTCATTTATTTTTGTGTCCCACAAAGAACCTATTAGATAGAGAGATAGCTACAGAAATATACTGGGATATAGATATTTATATTATATATGTATATATACTACACAATCCAACCATATATAAGTATGTTTAAACACCAACTGTGTGTATATAAAATACATATAAAGTTGGTGCTTAATAAATATTTACTGATGCAATTACCATTTTAATACAGTACTAATTAGAAGCATTGAGGATGAACGAATAGAGTGCTAGGCTTGGAATCAAGAAGACCTGCATTAAAATTCCACCTCTGATACTTACTAGCTATATAACCCTGAGCAAGTCCCTCGACCTTTACGTGCCACAACCTATAACGTATTCACTGTCTAACAGAATGGTTGAGATCTGCATTGATGGAAGAAGTACTCACACTGAGAATTCCTTACACTAACAAAATCACAAAAGCTTTGAGTATCCATGCTTTAATCTCACACGATGTCACTGGAGGCTGCCATAGGGTCAGACCCCTCTGCCAATGCACTTTGGAGCAATCCATGACTGTTTCTGAAGGACTCCCTAACCTCTAGTTTGAATGCCTCTGTTTGGTCTCTGGATTCTCAATCCTACCACTGGCTGGAGGTCACACTTATCTGCTTATTCTTTCTTTCTTTTTTGTCTTGCTCTTGGGGAAAGTTTTCTTTTGTTGTCTACTATTACTAGTAGAACATCACACACAATACCAAACAGCTAATAAAGCCAATTTTTTCCCCAAAACTATTCATAACCAAACACATATCCAAACCATGAATAAGAACTCAAAGCAAAATCATAGTACTAGTACTCATTCTTCATTTCTTTGAAGTGCTAAGTGTTTTCATTCCTGAATGTTTAACATTTAAAGAACTTGAAAAATATTCTTTGGATTTTTCTGTTTTGTTTTTACTAGCATAGTATAACGTATTAAGAGTAAGAAGATTCAGATTCTAGTCCGAGCACTGCCTCTAACCTCTCTGGACTTAAGTTTCCTTGTCTATAAAATAAGGGAGTCTGAACACATGACCTTGGACTCCCATTTTATGACTCCATTTCATCTTCTAAATTCTGAATTTCTGCTTATATATTTGAAATGTTTATACTACTTTGGTTTCAACCAGTAAAGGGGTATTGACTTGGCCAAAGTGAATGAAAAGACATTCTGTTTTAATTTTCTCAGTTTGGTATGGGACCTTAGAGGCTGAGTAGTCATTGCTCTTACAGAACTGTGGTTAGACATATATTGCAGGATTTTTGCTACATAAATCTCAAATTCAGTTCCTAGCACTCAGCTCTAATCTTCCAACCTAAGCTAAGCAGACATAGGCTATGTCTATATGAGGGAACTGGATAAAACTGCAATAGTCATTTAAGAACGGGAGCCGTTCCTAAGGGATTAGAACTTTCTCAAAATGGCAGACACTCAAGGTTTAGTTTTCAACCAAGGCAGTTAAAAATATGAGATTTGCCCTATAAAGATAGGAAAAGATGACTGACCTAATCATAACCATGAGACTTATTTGCATCTGGTTATCCCAAGAAGAAAAGTCAAATTTTATTTATCATACCAGAAGGAGTGAAAAAAATTTTGAGCTTTGCAGCATTTTTCATGACGTCTATGCAGAAAATACAATTTCTAAAACATTTACACACATTTCATTTTGACATTGTATAAGTAACCAGGATAAAATTGGTCACACAATGGACATATATGAATGAAAAGCTTTTCTTTTTTTTGTTAAAGTCTATAAGTTTTCTTGGAAAAATTTATTATAGTATGTAACTTAAAATAATTAATTCTTAATAATAAAAAAGAATAATAACCCACAAAAGTAGAAATTGTTAAGTTTTTAAAGAGGAGAATAACCAAGATCATTAAAGAAAATGAAAATGGATCTATTAAGAGAAGATAAAAGATCTAGGGCATGTATAAAAAGCACTTTACAAATCTTAAAGCTTTATATAAGTGTGTGCTGTTTTAGACTTGACCTGTGATTTTATTGATATAGGTAACTTCCAGATGAAAAAATTCATTCTACCAATGCAACTTAATAGTCTTAGGTAAAAAGTGGGTTATAGAATGCTGAGAAGTTAAGAGACTTTCATAGAATCCTCAGCCAGTATGTATCAAAGCAGAGACTTGAAAAGAGCTCTCCCACACTCTCAGGCCAGCTCTCTGATCAGCTTCCCATAAAGGCTAGAATATATTATTATTATTTGGAATAGAAAATTAAAGGGTAAGAATTACTGGAGGAAAAATAGCTTATATAGAGACTAGAACAAGAAAAAGTATGTTTCCACATTGTAATGATGTAAAATTGGATTAACCATAATGAAGCGCTACCTGGCATTTTCTCTACCAATCTGGAGATCTTTA